AGATCCTATCCGGCGTAAACTTGAAGTAGCCGTAGCTCGGCGCAATTCCTCCCGCGGTCACGTGTGTCACCGACATCGGCGCCAAATCACTTCGTCTGCCTCTGACGTAGCCCCGTGGGGCCCCTGCAGCCGCCGATGACTCCATCCCTTGCGCCTGAACGCCGCCGACTTGATTGGCGTTGAATCACCCCTCGCTGCCTCGATGTGCCTCCCGCATTGCGTTGACTCCCGCGTCGACGCCGCCTGCGTTGTTCACCGTTTTAGGAGATGCAGGCCGAGAAGGGGACTGATCCGTCGCCCACACGGCGCGGATGTCAGCCTGGACGACCGTCAGCGGGAGAGTTCCGTAGTCGTTCGTCGCATGACGTCTCCTCGCATCCTCCAGCCGTGCCTCCAAGGTGTCCACGACGCCCGCCTCAACTACGGGGTCCACCATGGCGTCCAACACAGCCGCCGGCCTACGATCAAGCTAGGTAAGTTTAAAGTCGGCTAACTCGAAGGTCACTTCGCGGTGTCGTCCACGCTCACCGCACCATGCGGAGATAACCACTATCACGGGAGCTAGACTACGGGCTAGGCACAAGGTATGAGTGGTCGTAGCGTTCGTTCGTTCCTTAGTCGTTTCCAAGTGCTAACACTGCTTGCTAGTTCACGGGGAAAATTGGCAAGAGTTTCACTAGGAAAACATGACAACTAAAGTTCAGGATGATAGCATCAACATTGGCAACACATACTACTTCAGACCTAGCAAGGCTGCTGGTCTACTGCCAGCGCAGCACGGTCGACCGCTGGTGTTCCAACGCTGCAGCAAGTCGGCTGCACAACGTTGCACCCGCCTGACAACGGTGCACCAGCTTCGCAGGTGCGTGCAGCTGGTTGGCGCCCAACTCCCCGTCACATGCCCAGCGCAGACACTCCACCCGTGACGGCGCCCACCAGCCACGTCGACCTCGGGATACCACCCCCGAGGTCGTCCTCGCAGAAACCACCCCCGGCGAAGTTCGTACACGTCGCCCGGGTATCCTGGTCGACTAGGAAACCACCCCCCGCGGTCGTCCCCCGCGGCCCCCGCGGTCAGCGGTCGTCCTCTGCGTCCACCGCGGTCCCCGCTGTCCTGCGGTTGTCTCCCGCGGCCACCGCGGTCCCCGCGGTCCCGCGCTCCCGCGGTTGTCTCCCGCGGCCACCACGGTTCCTGCGGTCTCGTGGTCCCGCGGCTGTCTCCCGCGGTCTCCCGCGGACCCCGCGGTCCCGTGGCCACCCGCGGCCCCACAGCCCCGCGGCCTCTCTCGGGCCCTGCGGCCCCGCGGCCTCCCTCGGGCCCTGCGGCCCTGCAGTCCCGCGGCCTCCCGCGGCCTCCCGCGGTCCCGCGGCCTCCCGCGGATCCCGCGGTTCTGCGGTCGTCGAGATCGGCTCCGCCCAAGCGAGGACGGGGCCAAACACTACTCCCGTTGACACTGGCAGTGGTATAGGGGACAGTGCTGACGGCGCCTCATCCTCACCATACCCATTTCTACCATCGCTCCTCTCTCTCTCCTCCCCCTCTCCCACCCACCACCCTGTCTGCCCCATGAACCTTAACATCCCACCCTGCACCCCCCACTCTACCCCCTTGCGCCCTCCACACGCCCTAGCCCGCATCTCGGCCATTTGTCCTCATCCTTCCATTCCCACCTCCTTCATGCACCCCCATTTTTACCCCATATATATATACATATATATTTTATATATTTGGGCAGAGGCAGCAGTTATGATCATATCGTACATGTAACCAAAACATGTACACAAATGAGTCGAAATCAATCAATGTACACTGAAGAATACGTTGAACACTCTTTTTACCCAGTCATTCCAAAAGATCTGCTGCGCATCCTCCAAATCAATCAGCGTCGCTGCTCTAATCATTTTTTAAGTAAAAAAACTGTAATGGAGTGGAAACTTTGTGGGTTTCCATATGACAAACGGCAACCCCACCCCACTCCCTCCCTGCTCCACATTGTCATAAACACCAAAAGCAGCCCTCTTCAAACTCATCATAAACCGCCCTCTGTGTTTCCCTCTATGTTGCTCCAAAATATAGGTTTTGTCAATCGGTAGTTTAGTAGGTGCATCCTCAATGCCCGGCATCTTCTTGTTAATGTCATGCCTTCGTCCAACTTTCGGACGTGTCAAACGTACCGTATGGGGTATGACTTTGTGAATTTTTATCGTTAGCGGTAAGTGATCAAGATTAGAAGCATTTTCAAGAGTCATTCCTTTGTGGATCACTTGAAATGCTCCAACCACATCGCCCTCCTGCGAGTGACAAAATCCGTCCACATGCAAATTACAACATGAACCCGCACGAAGCTAGTCGTGAGAATCACACACCAGTTCAAAAAGGGGTGGGGGAAATGAGCAGATGCGGAAAAAGAGTACTTTATGAGAAGGGCCAAATCACAAATAATGAGTGAGAGAGTATTACACATATCTATTGACATATTATGAAACCTTTGACAACTTCTTACCAATTTTTTCTGTACCTTACCACTCCACCCTAAACCACTAAAGCTCTTGACAAACAATTTGAGGCTACAAGGACCACATCATGCCTGCACTGTGCAAGAACATCACCCGTGTTGCGCAGGCTACAAGCAACGTGCCCACACTATGCAAGAACATCAACCGTGTTACACTGGCTACAAAAGCGGGTTAAAACCCGAACCGACCCAACCCGATTGCAATAATCGGACGGGTTTGAGGCCGGTTATACCTGACTCTACCCGGCCGGGTCGGACATCTGAGAACATCCAAAAATCCTGGGTCGCGGGGCCGGCCCGACCCGACCGAGCCAAATGCTTATGCCTAGTGTGGGTGGGTATCGGTTTAAAGCCAAGATCTAAAGTAAGAGAAATTGGCTTCAATTGCAAAACACTTGCAGCTCGAGTCACCCTGTTTGTGTAGGCGAAATCGAGTGATTGGGTTGGAGGTTCAGTGTGCGACAGATTTCCGTTTTGCCCGTGAATCTCAATTGCAAAACAAATTGCTCTACATGAGATTTTTCGGCAGCTGAGAAACATTGCTGGGAAAACAGCTTCGGAACCAAACCAGATTTCCGTGCCTAGGTGGTTCGGAAGCAGCTTGCGATTTTTGTTCGCTTCGCATCCCTCGTTTCAGCTCTCGTCAAATACTCTACCTCGTCAGCCAATCAGAGCTTAGCGCAATTCACTAACTGAAAAACAGCCAAACTACTTGAGATCCTGGCTTTAATCCCCCTCCATCATTTTGACGACCAAATTTCTCCCCTGGTGCTGAAACGCTCCCAATGTTCGACCTTCATCATGTCGTTCTTATCTTATCCACTTTCTTATAGATAGGCATACTATATGCCGTACCCCACCCACAACAACCACACCCATATAACGTCATCATACTTCCTCCTCGAAAAACCTATACTCCTGGTGGGATGGAAAGAGGAAAGAATGGTGGGAGGACAATTGAGTAAAAATGAGAATGGAATAAAAAAGTCTATCAATACAAGCTGCTCGATAAACTTTCGGACTTTATAATTACCGTACATACTCAACCAGGCATAAGCACAAGAATTAGCCACCTCTATTTCTACAACTACTTTTGAGTCGAATTGATGTCGGTTTGTTTCAAGCCAATTTGCCCGATTTGGCTGGTCTACGCTTACTTGCCCATACCTTCAACATGGAACCCGTGAGACCGGGGAACTTAGATGGTGTGTTTTGTCGCTGGCGTTAGAACACTAGTGTCTCAATGCTAAACCCTCTCTAGTAATCAGGTCAAATGCTTGTTGAGACTGGCAAAAGAACCAAGTTTCTCGGGTAAGCTTTACTCTACCGTAGTGCTGAAACGCAAATGACAAGAACTACTGTTCAAGGACTGGGACGAAATCGAGAAAATTCATGGTTGTCTTATAAGTTACACATGATACATCGGACTGGTTCAGAAAAAACAGACAGGTGGAATCGGTCACCAAATCGGATACAAGCCCCCTCTTGTCAAATCCACCAGCAAGTTTATTTTATGTTGGAATGTGACATTAAAAAAGGAGCTTGAAGCGCCGTCGGCAGAGAAAATGATGCGCCATTATTTGTGAGTCTTATGCAAGGCAAAGCACAAAGTTGTGACTGCGCTCAATGAAGTACTATGAAAGACCGTTCCCTAGCGCGCATTACCGTACTGATTTACAATACCCAACTTGCCCTTTTCCGCCACCCCCCCTATTACCATTGGGTCTTGCTTTCTATGCGGCCCGATCTAGTCCAGTGGTATCCCCTCCCAGCAGTAGTTTTGTTGGGCACCCAGCTATAGCCACCAGCTGACTAACTGCTCATGCCTGGTATACTGTACTATGCGTACAGTTGCTGTGTGAGCTGCGGAGACCTTAATTGGCATTTTACGTTTACGGGGGGTTTACGTGTACGTGACTTTATGCAGTAAACTTATGTTTACTTACCTGGGCCAAAAACAGCTTTATGTTTATGATCTGCCAGAAACATTTCAGGCTGCCCGGAAAGAAAAGAAATCATAGGACTAAGTGGCCACATAGAAAGCGCCTAACCAATCATTAGCTTGGTTCTTCTATGCCCAAGCATATTAGCACATTACTGCATCAACTTACTTATGCCCTGAATGTACACTGACAAGTCACAGCCTCTCCCACCTCATATCAGTCAGATTTACAAGTAAACCTACGAGTAACCTTACGATTACGTGACCCTAGCGGACCAACTAAGGCGGAGACATATCCAATCACGGGCCCCTATCAAGGAGAACACAAAGCGAGCAAAACACGTGTTGTTATCAGATATTATAAAAATTGGGCAAGACAAAAAAACTAGAGAACGTGGCTAAGAACCGAGTCAGGGACAAGAAAGAAATGACTTAGACACATTTTCCTCGACAAGCCTAGTTACTGGCCGATTTCAGTCAAAATCTGGTACAGATTTAAAGCTCAAGGATACATTTGTCAGTGGGGTTCAGGGTTTTACAGTATGCCTCACAGTTTTGGGGCAACTTTTCAAGTTCCTAAGGAACTTGAACCCCTCCTTTCAAATGTATACCGGAGCTTTAAACGTCTCAAACCTTATTCATCTTTACTAGCACGGTATCAGGTTTGAACCAAAATTGTTCTTATTCGGTTCAAACAATTTCTGGTTCGACTAGCCATGGAACCCTAAACACACAAAATAAATGTTTAGAGCACATTTCTCTTGCTACACCTCTATTCTAAGCTTATGCTCATGCGTACCTGCAGGAGTCATTCCATTGCCTTGTGTGCACCATTGACCAAGGCAGAAATCTCCGTGAAATCTCGCAGATCCACCCCTTTCTCATCCGCTTGTCTCTTCACCTCATCAGTCACGCTGACATTGAAACCCAACACCAGTGCCTCGTGCGCATCGGCCACATCAATGTCACTCTCTGGCACAATATCAGATTCCTCCTAACAAAGATTGGAAGAGTGAATTATATGTGTTGATTTCAAGGTCAGTATGGATTGGATTGTGAAGATGAGAAATGAAAATTTCGTCTTCTGCAAGAAAAGTAACGAAGGGGATTAAAGGAGGTGAAAGATGGAATAAAGAGCACGAAGGGGATATGAAAAAATTTATGCGTGGAAAAGAGTGAGCACCAGGAGAGCGGAAAGGAGCGGGGGTGGTGGGAGGAGAAGGGCAAAGCTCAAGACCAAATACCCACATACAGTCTACGGTCGCAAAGCCATCGCGCAGTTGTGTTGCACGAGCATAGGAGAGCGGATGGAGAGAGAGGGGTGGGAGGGGAAGTGCAAAAACTTAAACCTTGAACCCACCTTCGGTCCGCACTCACAAGGCTTGCGTGCAATTGTGTTGCACGAGCACCAGGAGAGCAAAAAAAAAAAAAAAAAAAAAAAACAACAAAAACAACAACAACAACAACAACAACAACAACAACAACAACAACAACAACAACAACAACAACAACAACAACAACAACAACAACAACAACAACAACAACAACAACAACAACAACAACAACAACAACAACAACAACAACAACAACAACAACAACATCTCACCGGCCGGATGCACAAATACACTGTATCTTGTGGTGGCTTTCCAAGTTTATCTTGAATCTTCCCCGCTTCTCCCTGGAAAGGAGTGAAATGGTGTACGCAAACGGCAAGATTGAGGATTGAAAGATCTCTAATGCATGTTTGAGCATGTGGGTATGTGGTTGTTTTCAAAGCAACTTCCAATCCACATTTGAGCATGTGGGTCTGTGGACCCATATGGTGGTTCCTCCTCTTGAACAAACCCACTGGATTTCTTGGTTTTCCTCATTCTCAATCAATTGACTGAAGTCTCTAGAACATTGCTACTCGCACGTTTTCCAACATGCAAACGCATGCGCATTCCTTACATGTGCTCTGCCAGATACTTGTCTTATGGTTAACCTTGAGAAGAACATTGAGAGGAATGCGATTACGGCCCGCTCCCACCCGAAGCAAACGAAGTGACCCAGCTCGTCAGGGTTACCAATCTGGTATGCGCCTGTTCAAAACAGGCATTTTTTTTCACATGTGCTGTAGCTGCTCGGGGTTTGTAATGAGTGAACTGAGGTTGAGCATTTATAATAAAGATTTTAGAAATAACAGTCAGGGCCAAAAAAGTGTAAAATATATTAGTCTTCGTTAGACTTGGGCAGGAACTGCACGGAACAGATCCGTAGTTTGGTTTTATGCCCACAGCCATGATTGTATGTCGTGCATATGAGTATGCATGCATGCATGTGACGAGAATGGTCATGAGCAAACACTTAACACAAACCAGATGAAGTCTAACATAGCTGAAATAATCCACTTTGAAGGCTGTTCATTTCGAACCTAGGGTTTGGCGCGACTAAGCCTTAAGAAATATCAATCATGGCCCGGAGTATGGGGAAGGGAGAGAAGGGGTTTGGAGAGGTATGTAACTTAACACGCTTCAATTCAGCATGCCCCAGTGCAGCACGCTTGAAATCAGCACGCTCAAGCCTCTTTGGGTGAGTCCAACCTGTCAGAATAAACGGACTGGAATGAGGCAACTAGCAGTGAGTTTGGTACAAATATGCAACCCTAGAATGGTGACCCTCCTATAGGCTAACCCACTATAGCCTACACAGATATAACATGTATAATGTTTGACACACCCCCATAGGCGAAGTGGGAGAGACCTAGGGGTCACAAGACCAGTCAGGGCAAAGCAAGACAACAACAAGCTCAGGGTGGATCTCGAGGATTCCACACAAATTCCGAGCACAAGCAAGTGGTCACAAGACCAGTTCACATGCAGGTTTATAACAAAGCAAGAAATACAGTGATCACAACCTAGCAAGAGTAAACAAGCAGGTATAAGCATATATAGTGATCACAGTACAAGCAAGGTCAAGAGGTAAGCAAGTGAGGTCCAGTAGGCACAAGGCCTAGTAGAGTGCAGAGGCGCTGATGGTCACGAGGCTGAAGTGCCTTGGTGAACACATCAGCAGTGTTGGCCTCAGTGGCCACGTAGCGAATACAAAGCTGACCGCGCTGCTGCAGCTCTCGAGCAAGGAAGTACCGCAGGGCGATGTGCTTCATTCTGTGCTCCAGTCTGTGCTCCTCACACAAGGCAATGGCAGCCTTGTTGTCGACGTACAGCACTGGAGGAGAACGAGGCCGCTCTCCGAGGTCGGTCAGCAGGTAGGTCAGCCAGCGTAGCTCCTGGGCAGCCATGGCTGTAGCGTAGATCTCAGCCTCGCAACTGGAGCCGAGAACAGAAGAAGAGCGTGTAGAGCGCCAAGAAACTGAGCCAGAGCCAAGGCTGAAGGTGTAACCCTGAGACGACCGCTGAGTGGCCTGGTCGTCTGCCCAAGAAGCGTCTGAGTGCCCTGTGAGAACAACTCGGTCTCGCCCTCCAAGCACAAGCCCCATGCCCGACGTACTGCACAAGTAGCGCAACACCCTCTTAGCGGCATCCATGTGCTCCTTCCTGTGACGGCCAGGAGCGACATAGCGTGCAAGGATGCTAAGAGGGTATGCAAGGTCAGGTCGAGTGCAGGTCATCAGGTACATGAGGCAGCCCACAAGCTCTGGATACGGGCCACTCGGCTCTACGGACTCATCCAAAGGCAGAGCTGAGAGCGAGTGACCGGTAGGCAGAGGAGTGGACTGAGGCGAGGAGTACGTGAAGCGGAAGCGCTGGAGAACCTGCTGCACCATGTGTGACTGAGTCAGGGTGATGGTGCGCCGTGCTCTGTCCCGGGTGATCCGCAAGCCAAGATAGCTTGTCAGCTCACCCAGGTCTGTGCACGTGTGTCTCCTCTGCAGCTCCGACTTCACGTAGGCGAGTCCTGCAGTGTCAGCAGTAGCAAAGACCAAGTCGTCGACGTACACGAGGATGTAGAACGGCGGCAGCGAAGTGTCGGTGCGCAGGAACAGCGACGGGTCAGCTGTAGAAGGCGCGAACCCAAGAGCCGCAAGTGTAGTCCTCAGTGTGTCGTGCCACTCACGCGGAGCCTGGCGGAGACCGTAGACCGGCCGCTGAAGCCTCTACTGGGTACCAGAAGGAAACGACCCAGTGAAGCCAGGTGGGCGGCGCAGCCAGATCTCCTCGTGCAGGCTGCCCTGCAAGAAAGCAGTGCTGAAGTCAAGTGAGTGAAGCTCGTAGTCGCGGTGAGCGGCTATGTGCAGCAGCACCCGAAGAGTGGTCATCTTCGGGGTGGGGGAGAAGGTCTGGAAGAAGTCAACTCCCTCTCGCTGACTGAAGCCTCGAGCCACGTAACGCGCCTTGAAGACAGGCGGAGAACCCGGTGGCCGCTTCACCCTGAAAATCCACATGCCACTGACGATGTTCGCCCCAGGAGGGGGAACCTCGTCGACGTAGGTGCGTGTGGACTTCCAGGAAGCCATCTCGGCGTCCATGGCTGTCTGCCACTGAGAGGAGTAGGGACCCGCCATCGCCTCAGCGTAAGTGCGCGGGGTCGGGATGTCTGGTGCATCCGGGTCTCCCTCAGGGGCAACTAGCAGGGACACGAGACGGGGCAAAGCAGCAGCAAGACACTGGAACTCCTCCTGTCTGTCCTCAAGGACGTCCGTGCCAAGAGCACACTCACCCCCGACGGACGGAGGACAGACAGACTCAGACTCAGACTCAGCAACAAGGCTAGCAGCGTAGTCTAGACGACAGGCAGCAGCAAAGTCAACCAACTCAGCGACCAGAGCAGACGCAGCGGAGGACTCAAAGGTAGGGTCAGTGACAACAGTAGCTAGGAGACGCGTGACAGTAGGGTGCTCAGCACGATACCGGTCAGACTCAGGGTCCGGAACGTCAGGCAAAGAGGACGAAGGAGGAGACGGTAGAGGGACACGCTGAGGAGCAGTAGAGGGACGCAGAGTCATGTAGTGAGTGCCTGGGACAGGAGGAGGACGCTCACGGCGGACACGACTACCAGTGCGAGCAGTACGAACAGGCGACGCAGGACGAGACTCAGGCTCACGACGCTCTGTAAGACCTCCTGTGGGACCAGTGTAAGGAGAGGGAGCAGGGAGAGGCGAGGTAGGCGGTAACTGTGACTGCGGCTGGACAGGCGGAGGACACTCTACGGAGGGAGAAGGACAAGGAGGAGGAGCCTGCCCAAGAACCTGCTGAAGGAGCGGTACGAAGTACGGTCGCGGCCGCGCAGCGTCTCCAGAAGCAGTAGAGACTCCAGCGGCCGGGTCCGCAGTACCAGCAGGAGCTCCAGCGTCTGGGTCCACAGCACCAGCAGCAGCTCCACCAGCCGGGTCCTCAACACCAGCAGCAGCTCCAACGCCCGGGTCCTCAGCAGCAGCAGCAGCGCCACCGCTCGGGTCCTCAGCTCCAGCAGCAGCTCCAACGTCCGAGTCCTCAGCACCAGCAGCAGCTCCACCGCCCGGGTCCTCAGCACCAGCAGCAGCTCCAACGTCCGGGTCCGCAGCACCAGCAGCAGCGCCACCGCTCAGGTCCTCAGCTCCAGCAGCAGCTCCAACGTCCGAGTCCTCAGCACCAGCAGCAGCTCCACCGCCCGGGTCCTCAGCACCAGTAGCAGCTCCACCGCTCGGGTCCTCAGCACCAGCAGCAGCGCCACCCCCAGAGTCCGCAGCACCAGGAGCACCACTCCGAAGACTGCAGCGCCGTGTGTACCACTCGCGGATCTGCTGAATGGGGGGGAGCTCCTGGGTAGGAGGGGAAGTACCGGGACGAGCTCCAGCAGCACCTCTCCGGAGGCGGCAGTACTCGAGGTACCTCTCCTGCAGCTGCTGGGAGGAGAGGGCTCCTCCAGGTGTAGCACGCTCAGGCTCAGCACCCCCAGACTCAGCACCCCCAGACTCAGCACCTCCAGGCTCCGCACCCCCAGACTCAGCACTCCCAGGCTCAGCACCCCCAGACGCAGCACCCCCAGGCTCAGCACCCCCAGACGCAGCACCCCCAGGCTCAGCACCCCTAGCAGGACGAGAGTCAACAGCTACCTCGACAGGCTCACCCGGGTCTACCTGGGACACACATGAGGGAGCGGCACCCTGAGGGGGGAGGGGGTCTGGTACCTCAGCACCTGGAGCGAGGAAGAGAGGCGGGGGGGGGAGCGGGGCAGTGCGGTAGGGGAAGAGGCGGTAGTAGGGGACGGACTCGTCAAAAGTGACGTCCTGAGAGGCCAGGACACGACGCGAGGTGGGGTGGTAGAACTGCCAGCCAGGGGCGTCCGGGACAAAGCCAAGGAAGACGCAGGGGACAGCGCGACGGGAGAGCTTGTCCGCGGACGTGTCGCGGACAAAAGCTCGGGATCCCCAGACCCGAAAACGCGACGCATCGCCAGCCTCTCCCGTCCAACGCAGTGTCGGAGAAGTCTCGGGCAAGGAGACACGGGGCCAGAGGTTGAGCTGATGCGCAGCGTATCGGACTGCAAACGGCCACAGAAAATGGGGGGCAGCCGCATGGCTCAAGGAGGTACGAGCGACCTCCATGACCAGACCAATGCGGCGCTCAGCAACCCCATTCTGCTGTGGAGAGGCCGGAAGCGTGTACGACTGCTCAATGCCCTCCTGCTGACAGAAGGCCTCCAATAGGCCAGAGGAAAACTCCCCACCTCTGTCAGAGTG